CCAGGGGTCCCCACCTCCCCAGGCACTCACCCCAGCACCTCCAGGAGTCAACTGTGGCGGGGGGGGGGGGTGGGGGGGGTGGTGGCCTAGGGCCTGCAGGCAAAGCCAGGCTGGCTGTGGCAGTGATTCCCCCACAGTTTTTCCTGAACAGACAAACCTGTTTACCAGGTTTGTGGCCAGAGCCTCACCCTAGTCTCAGGGGCTCACTGGAGGCTCATCCTCAGGCCCCTCTGCCCATTTTACAGCTGAGGAGAGAGAGAAGTCAATCACTGGGCCCCAAGTCTGGGACTAAAATTGAGGCTTTGCCACTGTGCACTCCCCACCCTGCAGGAATGTCCCCCAGAAGCCAGCAGGGTCCCCTCTGTTCAGCCCCTAGTGGTCCAGTTGGGCCCAACCTGTCTTCTGGCCTTGTGGTCTTGGGATAGACTTCCTAGGGGCTTCTGCTTTCTCCTGCTTCCTGCAGCCTGGGCTAGAAGCAGTCAACCTGGGAGACCAAGACCTATCTTTTCCTTGTATAATGGGTGTCAAGGGATGGACTTCCAGGAGTTCAGTGAGCACGCTGTCCAAGAGACCCCATGTCCTTACAGTTGCTCAGAGGTCCTGGCAACATAGTGGAGAGCACAGAGTCTGGGTGGAGCCCAAGTATCTGAGTGCAGCAGGACCCTAAGTGCCCAGGCAGCAAAGTTGCAATCAGAGCAAATAGATTCTCCTCTCCCTTGTTTCTGAGCACCTATCATGTGCCAGACACGATGGACCCAGATTGGGCTAGGCGATGGGGCGGAAACAGAACAGGAAATGAAAACATATGTGGCAGGATTGCCCACCCACGCTCCTGGGGCCACCGCCAGCATGAAGAAGGACCAAGAGGAAAAGGAGGTAAACAATGGGTGTTACTGTGAGAAGGTGAATGAACCAGTTATGCTGAATGCTGAGTCCATAGTTTTCCATGACTAGCATCACCAGGAGCAAGAAATGCAGAATTTGCCCTGCCCAGACCCAGAGGACCCAAACAAGAGACATGAAGCCTGAGACTTGGGAAGTTAAGATGGAAGCAGGCGATAGCTTCCTGAAAGTGGCAGAAAGAGGGTGTTACTGCCAACCAATCAAGGCCCTGGATGGTGTTACTGCCAACCAATCAAGGCCCTGGAGTTCAGGAATGGCCAGTATCACCAAGTAGCTTGGCTCTGAATGAATAAAGGGAATAGCATGTCTCAGTTCAAAAATTAGAATGGGCCCTTGCTGGAAGCCCTAGTGGTGACCCAGTGGGTAGGCTGGACCCATCCCTGTCAGCCGTTTCTGCCCTATGACACTTTCCCTGTCCTTCATGAAGGTTCCTTGGAGCAGGAAGGGCCAGAACAACCTGGAGAAGCCAGGTGTGTAAGAAGCGGCTTAGACTCCAAATCACAGGGGCTCAAGTCAAAGGCAACAAGGGGCGTATGCGACTTCCATTCCGGCCCCCAACTTCCCTCTGAGACCCAGCTCCTTGTGACCTTTCAGTGGACCCCTTCCTTCCCTGGGTCCATTCTCCATCTGTACATTGAGGCTGGTTCTGATGGTCTGATCTTGATCCTCTCTTCAGGGTTACACACACACCCAAGTCCCATAAAAGTGGCCCAGTCCAGGTAAGGAGCTGTTGTTGTTAGGTGCCTTCGAGTTGGTTTTGACTCATAGAGACTCTGTATAGGGTTTCCAAGGAGTGGGTGATGGGTTTGAACTGCCAACCTTGCAGCTCAAACTGACATTGCAGTCCAGCTCATTATCCTGCAGCACCACACCTGGACACCAAGGAGTAGATTGTCTGATGTTGCCACCTGCTGGCAAGTCTGGGATCTGATCCTCAAATTCAAGCCCTTCGTGGTTCAGGGGTCACTTAGGGCACCAGAGGTACTGATTGATGTTCTATCCCTACACGCTCTCTGATCCATTGTCCTAAAGTCCTAGTTCCCTTTCCTAGTGACCCTATAGAACAAAGTAGAATTTCTCCACAGGGTTTCCAAGGATATAAATTTTTATGGAAACTGATTGCCTCATCTTTTACCCAAAGAGTGCTTGTTGAATTTGAACTACTGACCTTTCAATAAGTATGCTTAGGGGGGAATGGAAGAACAAAGTGGATGGGAGAACAATGAGGCAGGTTTGCATGGGCTAAGTGGGACAGAGGTAAAGAATGATGTATGCACAACCTTGGAACCACAGGACTCTGGGATACAGGAATTGAGACATGGTTGGAATGGGGAAAGGGGGGTAAATAATGTCCAGATGCTTGGCTATCTTATGAATCTTGGTTTCCCTGGTATACTATTATTAAATAGACACTGCAGGGGGACAGAAGGGAATAGCTAGAAATCTCACCATAGAAAGCTTGTAAGTCTGTCTTCTGCCTATAACTGATTGGAATACCTAAAATGGAGCTACAATGTACCCAGTGAAGGAGGCTTCCTGCGGAGCCACCTATAAGACTATAGGTGGAATCCTGAACAGCATCCAGAATCTTCAGAGGTGGGAAATTTCCACTTGAAAGGACAAGCAGACCATCCTGGAGAGGCTAGAAGAACAGAAGATACTTCTTGAAAGAAAGACCGACAGGAAAAATACAAAACAATATAGGCAGACCGACTGATTACTACAAGAACAAGCAAGTTGCTCGCCCAGGAGACATCAAGGCAAGCGGTCGGGTCTCCTCAGAGCAAAGTCTCTTCCAAGACTAAGACTCAATGGGAATACACGCTCTGATTGATGACCATGTACTTCACCAATAAGGGGAAGTGAGGGGAAAACAGCAATGAAGCTGCAAGCTAAGCCCTACAACATTCAATAGACTCCTATGAACCTGGGGAGGAGGGGGATGGAGGGGGGAAAGACCTGGTTGGCCAGCAGTGTGGCAAGACCTGGGGACTCTTTGGCCCAGAATCAGTGACATAGCCACAGAGGACTAGAGTGGAGAGTGAAGCGTCCAGCTGATAAGAAGAGAGGGCATATGCACAAGAACACCCAGACTTGCAGATAATACCCACTTGACCTGGCTTCAGTGACTGGGTGATCAGAACTCAACCAGAAGAAGAAAGAAGAGGGGAAAAAAAAGAGTAATCTGATACAATTTAATGAACTTGACCTACATCTATGGATGCAGTAGCTCAAAAGAAGGAACAAATCTTTACAGCAAGGATCATTCCCACCCCCTCCATACACAGAGTAGACAGGGATGGACAACTTGGACATTGGCTACCCAAAGTGGGGGGTGGGGCCTACAAAGGCAAGAAATGACTTGCTTACAAGCTTTCAAGAGGGAACCTAGATCCAGAGGGCATGGAAAAGATAGAATCTCCACTGAGTTGTATCCAGTCTCTCTAGGCGGGGCTGATGAAAGGAAATGCAGATAGGTCTCTTGTGATACAATAGTGAATAATTGTTATCAGGACTGATTGTGAGGGTTGGAAATGTAAAGGTAGACGTTTTGTAGCAAGGATGGGACTGATTAACTTTTCAGTCTAGGAGCGGAGGTCCCTGGGACCATCAAGGGAGAAGAGCAGAGAGTGGGACCCTACCCAGAGATGAAGTGAAGCCAGAGATGGAGGTAGAGACAATGGCATGGAGAGATGGAGCAGCTGGGGACTTTAGACTCAGAGAGGGAGAGGGGCTGTGTGCTGATAACCAGGGGGCAGGTTTGCAGGGTATACCCTTTGGTTGGTTGATGATGCATGGAAGGGATTGTAACCATGGCAACGATATGATATACGATAGGATAAATGTAAAACTAATGTTCTCCCATGTAAACAATGACATAATTCACAATAAAACAGTTTTTTAAAATAATATTAAGTATGCTTAACCACTGCACCACCTGGGCTCCTTTTGTGCACCTCACAATAATCCTAAACAACCCCCCATCTGAGGGAACTGAGGGTTCAATGTTGTTAGGTGCTGTTGAGACAGTCCAACTCATAGTGACCCTATGTATAACAGAATGAAACACTGCCCAGTCCTGCACCTTCCTCACAATCATTGCTATGTTTGAGCCCACTGCTGCTGCCACTGTGTTAATCCATCTTATTGGGGGTCTTCCTTTTTTAGTTGATGTTCTTCTCCAGGGACTGGTCCCTCCTAAAAACATGTCCAAAGTAGGTGAGACAAACTTGTTTCTAAGGAGCATTCTGACTGGACTTCTTCCAAGACAGATGAGTTCATTCTTTTGGAAGTCCACATTATGGTATACTCTTCATCAGCACCTTAATTCAAAGACATCAGTTGGACTCCTGGCCTGTACCCTGCCTCCTTTCCCACTCTAGGCCCATCACCCATGGGTGTTACTGGATGGGCAGGCCAGAGGCTCTTTGGGCCTTGCATCTCAGGACAGAGCAGAGGGTGAGATTGAAGATGGGGCTAGGGTGCCTGCGCTGGAATCTAGACTCCCAATTCGCTGATGTTGGGAAAGCAACGGAACCACTCTGCGCTTCAGTTTCCGAGTCCGTAAAACAGGGCAACGCTACGCTATCACAGCTTTACTGCCAGAGTGAAATACGCTAACGCAAGTCAAGCGCAGCAGGGTACTAAAAGCTCCCAGACTAGAGGCCGCTCTGGGTCCGCCCTGCCCTGCCCTGCCCCGCCCCGCCCCGCCCACAACCTCGTCTCTCCTCGCCCAATCCCGCCCACAGTCTCGCCCCCTCTGGGACCCGGTCCCCGCCCAGGGTCGGCTCCGCCCCTCCCCCCAGCCCATCTTCCATGCATCCCCCAACCAGAGTTCGCCCCGTGAAGCCCCGCCCTTTCCCCGCCCACATCCTCACCCTATTCCCGCCCTCATCCCGGCTCTAGCACTTGTCCCGCCCACCACCCCACCCTCGCCCCGCCCTCATCCCTGCCGTATCCACCCCATTTAGTCGTGTGACGCACAATATCCGAGCCGTATTCCGACTCCGTGGCGCGCTTGATCAGGAGGTCCTAGGCTCTGGGGGGCGTGGCCAACGTGATTCCCGCGGCTGGAGAACAGGCAGTGACCCTGAACCATGGCGGCTATCGCTGCCAGTCCCCCGGAGGTAATCCGCGCCGCTCAGAAGGACGACTATTACCGCGGGGGGCTGCGGAGCGCTGCCGGCGGCGTCTTACATAGCCTGGCAGGTGAGGGCTGGCGGGCGGGCGGCTGCGCTTGGGCCCCGCTTCTGAGCCGGTCGCATCGTCCGGGCTGCCAGAGAGGTTCACGCCGTGCCTTTTGGAGCGTTGTTGTCAAAAGATGTGAGACAGTGTATCTGAGGGCCTCATTGTGGCCCAGGAAGCGTCGTTGCAAACATGTTACTTTTGCCTTTGTTACCCCGCGTTGGTGTGACCAGTCGGTCACTTTGTCCACCTGCGAGCCCTCTCTGGGCCTGACACATGAGCCAAAGCTTCACCTTTCACCTATGCGCCCTCCGGGGTCAGTACCCCAGGGTGGGCTTAGCAGGAAATGGGTTCGAACAGTGCCCCGGGCTGTAGCCAATAAAGAAGTGAAGCCCGTCAGCCTCAGCACGTGGGGGACGGAGCATCACGTTATAGGGGAGCCTCAGTTTTCATGGAGCCCCAGCGTGGTACTGTGGGGGGAGGGTAAGAGTTCCTGGAAGCTGGAACAAATTTTCAAGCTGGAACGGTGCTGAGCAAGTTCCCGGGGACAGCCAGGCTCCTGTCGGGATCCGCTGGAGCCAAGCTGCACCTGCCAAGTAGGGCCTGGAATGGCAGGCTGGTAGCAAGTTTGAGTGGGAGAGTGATGTGACCAGAACAATTGTTAAAATGTGGATTTATTTTGCAGGCACTTAGCCCTTACTCTGTGCCAGGCGTTTATATGTATTAACCCATTTCAGCCCCCAAATAACCCTGTGGGGTTGTTAAGTCCAGTAGGTTCCAACTCATAGCGACCCTGTATAACTTTCCCAAGAGCCCCTGGTGAGCTTGAACTGCCGACCTTGTGGTTTTGCAGTCTAGCACATTAACCCACAGCACCACACCCAGTGGGATCTGATAATATTCCCTTCTTAGCACTTGCCAGGGTCAACCATGCCTGATGGTGACCCATGCATGTCAGAGTAGACCTGTGCTCCATAGACTTTGCAATGGGCATTACCTTTTGGAAGTAGGTTGCCAGCCCTTTCTTCAGAGGTACCTCTGGGTAGACCCTGCCCTCCAGTGTTCAGTTAGCAGCCAAAAGCTTAATCATTTGCATCACCCAGGGGGAAATGGAGGTTCTAGAGCGATGAAGTGATGTATTTTAAGTCACATAACTTGGAACTGGGAAGACTTGGGTTGAATTTAGTAGTCTGAGGCTTGTGCTGTCTTTCTCTTCATGTGAGGTGGTGGGTCAGCAGGAGAGAGTCTTAGAAGATGCTCTCAGTGGCCAGTCCTCAGATGAGGTGGAGACAAAAAGCACAGCTGACCCATGTGCCAGCAAGGGGGCATCTCAAGTCCAGGGGAGACTGGGACTTGCTGGCCTGACAGCTGGGGGAAGGGGTGGTGGCCGTAATCCTTAGTGACAACTTTGTTTGGCTCTCCCCTCAGGTGCTAGGAGGTGGCTGGAGTGGAGGAAAGAGATTGAGCTGCTCTCTGACCTGGCCTACTTTAGCCTCACCACACTGGCAGGTACAGCCCCCAGGACCTTGGGTTGGGGAGCGCCAGGTAGAGGGATGTTTGGGCAGTGAGGCCCTCCCTGCAGGAGCAGTTAAGTTTGGGGCCAAGCCCCATAGTTTCCCATAGTAGAACCGCAAGCAAGACTGCAGATCCCCACCATGGGTCACCATGCCCCTCCTGACCCACTCCGTCCACCACATGCACCCTGGTGTGTCCCACTGTGGGCGGCGGATAGACAATAAGCAGTAAGGGACAACACTGTATGGAGTGCTGGAAGTGCTGAGTGCTTTAAAGGAGAGCACCAGGCAGAGCAAACCCCAGTGAAGAACCTGAGGGGACCAGCAAGGCAGCAGCGTGGCTCAGGCCCTTGTGGGGACTTGGCTTTTCCTCCAGGGGAAGTGGAGGCCTTGGACTGACAGGTCAAGGCATGGCTGAACACTGGTCAAGAGGAGACCCAGGGGAAAGCCGTAGAAAGTATACTGGCATAGACCTGGGAGACAGCAGTGAGGGGCTGGGGAGCGATCCCATGCTGGGAGTGCCTTGTCCCTCATGAGGTGTCTGCCCTCTGCAGGCTACCAGACCCTCGGGGAGGAGTATGTTGGCCTCGTTCAGGTGGACCCGTCCCGGCGCCGGGTGCCCTCGTGGCTCCGCCGTGGTGGGCTTATCGCATTGCACACTGTCCTGCCTTACCTGCTCGACAAAGCACTGTTCCACCTGGAGCATGAGCTGCAGGCCAATGACGGTGTGGCTTCGGGGTCCCGTGGCCGGACGGGCGCACGGCTCTGGGTGCACCGGCGCACAGCCCACCTGAGTGAGCAGCAGCGGAGGACGCTCCTGCAGGCGCTGCATATCTTCTCTCGGAGCCTCACCTACCTGCGGCGGCTACACATCGCCTGGTTCTACATCAGCGGTCCCTTCTACCACCTTGCCAAGAGACTCACCAACATCACTTATGTAAGTACTGGCAGGCCACCCCGCTTTGGCTCATCCTTGTGGTCCTAGCACTCCGAGCCCAAGGGGCCAGCCCTAGCTCTAGTCTGCACTTGCTCCACCCAAACCATCCGATGGAAAACCAGTATGGATTGGTTGGTTTGCTAAACAACCCAGGAAGCTCGATTCCCTCCAGCCCTCCAGCCAGCAGTTATCCACTGTCAGTGCCACCGTAGGCCCTGGATCCTGCTTTCCTGAGGGGTGGTCCAGTCACAGTTCAGAAGGGTGGGGACAGCAGCTTGTCCTGGGTCACCCAGCAGTGCTGGAGCAGACTTGGGCCCAGCTCCTGGTTGTACCCACTTCATCCTCACTGCTCTGCGCTGACTTGGGGTGGACGCCATTCTCAGGGTTAGGTCTTGGCGGACATCTTCCAAGAGTCTGCTCCTCCCTCAGCCCTGCCCTCTTGTCCATGTGGATGGCTTCCTTTCTCACTCCTTGGGAGAGTCCCAGGGCACACGCATGACTGAGGAGTGGGCCACGTGCTATGCTGTAACAGAACCTCCGTCTCCCAAGTTATCAGCAGCCTGGCTGTGCTGGTCTGCAGGAAAGCACCTCTCCACACCTCTGGGGACACTTCCCAGGTTGCTTTACCTTCTCAGCTCACTCTGAGATGTTGGAGCTAGACATCACTTCCAAGTCACATTCATTCCCTGGGGATCTACTGGCCTCAGGTCCCAGCCCCCGGTGTCTTTGCCCCTGCGCCTCCTCCCTGCTGGACACTGTGGGCCCACATAGCCTCGGGCACGTGCCCCGCCTGCAGTGTTTGCTTCTCCACCCATCACTCCCCATCTGTCCCCCCGCAGAGTCATACCTGACCATGTAAGGGGGCCACGTCTCCCTTCCCCTCCCTGTGAGATATCACTCTCCAGAACAGGCCCAGCCTTGTGCCCGCTGCTCCTGGGACCCCAAAGAGGGCTGCCTGGGAGGAGCTGGACACCAGCACAGGCCAGGTGGGGATCAGGTGGGTAGAAAGGCTGCAGAAGCCCTGCCCTCTAGGGTCCTGACAGGCTGCTCACCTTTATAGCTCCGCCCCCACCACCTGCCATCTGAAGAGGAGCTCAGGGCACGTGCCACCTACAAGCTGCTGGGGGCCATCTCCTTGTTGCACCTGGTACTCTCCATCGGGGTCCAGCTATACGGCTTCAAGCAGAGGCAGCGGGCGAGGAAGGAGTGGAGGGTGCACCGTCACCTGTCCTTCCGCAGGTATGCAGCAGGTGGGGGCTGAGTGGACTGAGGACTGGGCACTCACCTCCTCTTTGCTCCCCCATCTAGGAGCCACATGGAGGAGCGAGTTGCCCCCAGAAGCCCCCTATGCACACTGTGCCTAGAGGAGCGCCGGCACGCCACAGCCACACCCTGTGGGCACCTCTTTTGCTGGGAATGCATCACTGAGTGGTGCAACACTAAGGTAGGTGCAGGCTCTGGAGCCCTCATGGCATGGGGAGGGTAAGATGCTGCACTGGGTCGGGGGGGGATCAGTGTTTGAGGTCGCACTTGGAGGCTCTAACGAAGCCAAGTTGCTGTGGCACCTGGCACAATAGTGTCTACCCCTGGAAGGTGGGTGGTGGCTGGAGGACCCAGGTGACCCCACACAAACTCTGTGCCCCAGGCCCCTTTACCCTCTTTGTTCTCTGTGCCCACAGAGGGCCTGGCATCCCAGACCACCATATATCTGCTCTCTCAAAAGTACTCCCAGACCCTCAGTGCCACTGTCCCTCAGAGGATGTTTATGGGGGGGCACTACTAGGCATGACTGGTCAGGAGACCCATGTGGCTTTCGCAGAATTAGTCTTGTTTGCTTCCACCCCCACCCTCCAAGTGCAGAACAGTGTTTGTCCTCAGTGTTACCTGGGAGACCAATCTAGAATGAAGGGGTTAGACAGACACTGCACTGCCCATCGTCTGATTCAGTTAAATCAGGAGCCCTTGGCCAACTCAGGTTCCCACATAACCATGTCTGGAGGCTGGGAGCAGTCAGGTGGGCCCAGTGCCACCGGCCACCTATGGCACTCAGGATCCTTCTGCCCCCCCCCCCCCCCCCAAGCCGTTTTATCTTAAATGGAAGAGAGCAGCGATGTGTTTGTTAACGTGAGAAAAAGCGGGCCACTTGGAGCTGGAGCATTTGAAGAGGACAGGCCATCTTGGGAAGGAAGCACGTTTCCCAGTCGGCGGGGACTTGGGTGTGAGGGTTTTGGGGAAGAGGATGCCATGTGCCCTCTCCCCCACCTGGGTTGGGGTCCCAACAGGCTATGCTAGGGGTGGGGCTGAGATGGCCACCCAACGAGCCCCCTTTTTTCTACAGACAGAGTGCCCCCTGTGCAGGGAGAAGTTCCTGCCCCAGAAGCTGGTTTACCTCCGGCACTACCACTAGTCCCAAGACCCAGTCAGGAGAGGAAGCCCATTCTCAAGGTGAACCCCACTCACCCAGAAAAGCTAGTGTTCTAACTGGACGTTTTCTGTTAACCAAACCCTGCAACAGAGCTCACGTGAAGAAAAACACTGGTGCCAGCTGGAGGCTGGGCCTAAGGTGGACAGGTTTACGAGACCCAGTGGACCCGGAGGCTAACCGCTTAAGAGTCAGTCCAGCAGGGGGAGAGTCAGAGGGCATCCTCCCCCTCACCATTTTGGTACAATTTAAACATATACTTCACTCTTAAGAAATTTCACTTTGGGGATCACAGTTTTTGATTCTTCAAATTCTGATTGAGAATGAACGTCAGAAGCCGGCGAGGACAGAATGTGTTCACTTATGAGCTGATGACTGCACTGTCAGGCTCATGGTGGTGGCTATGAATGGTCAGTGCCTAGAATGTAATCATATGCTTTAGACAGCAATTCAGGTCGAGCCCAAACCAGCTTGGCGGCAGGAACCACGTGAACAGGAGCTGGTGTGAGCACACACCAGAAGGAAAGCCGGCAACTGAATGCATCTCCATACCAGTGTCCGCACACTCCTCACTACAGGTCTGCAGACTGGCTGGAGAGAATGAGAGAGCTCCTTCCCAACAGCACCCCAGCTCCTGCCCAAGGCCAGCACAGCCAGCTTGAGGGACGTTTTGTTTTCTTAACACCTAACCGTGGACTGTTGATGTGGTACTGTAAGATCAGCAATGAACTGCTTAAATCCCAAGGTTGGCAGTTCAAACCCACCAGCTGCTCCTTGGAAACCGTATACAGGGTCACTGAGTTAGAACCAACTCTATGACACTTAAACCTACTACCTACCAGCTAACAGCTCCTTCCCCAGCTAATAAACTCACTTTATGGAACATTGGGTGAACTCCAAGCCCAGTTAGCAGCACCACTTTAAACAAGACTTCCATCATCAGCCAGTCCTCGTTTATAATTGGGCAAGACCCAACTGTGGAGGAACGAAGATGATCCACGCTCCTCAATTAATACAGGCCAGCGTACTGAGACAGGCCACCGCCACCTGCAGCCACACTGAGCAGCAGTGTCCAGACGGGGCACTAGGACTGAGTTCTGAGGGCTGCTTCCCACCACCGACGGCAGCCCTTACCTCATGGCCAGTCACTCAAGTCCACACTGATGCCTGAACATTTACTGGGAGAACTGGCCAATTGAGGTACTTCTAAGCTACTCTGAAAGCAAAACTACCCTAATTGTGATCATCCTCAGGACTGCATTGTGGCATGTCATTTCAGCTGAAAGCCTTATCTACAGGGGCAGGTATACAAAGTGCCCCTGGAAAGCAAGAGCTCAATCCAGACAGCAGCCTCTCAGGAAGATCCAGGCATTGCACGTCCAATGTCTGAAAGATGGAAGTCTGGTAGATTGCACCCGGTGTGAGGCCCTGTGGAGACGCACGTTTCCCACCTCTTCTGTCACCGGCAATGATGGTGCTGGGAGCTGGGTTTCAGAGAGAGACTAACACAGGAAAGGGGACACTGTCTTTAATAAAGTTGGATTAAAAAGTCACTTAGTAAAAGGTTTTAAGAGTTTGCGTTTTTATCACATGAAAAAGTTGACATGCAGGTCAGAGTTCTAGCTTCCCCCATAGAAAACGAGAAGCTGTGTTTTGTTAAAACTCACAGAACCAGTCTGATGGCACTGGTTTTGTTGTTTCCTTAAAGGGGCTGTTGTGTGAAAACAAGTTTAAATTAATCAAAAAACAAAACAACTCTTTACATATTAAAGAAATATGTCAAAATAATCTCAAATGATTAAAATATAATATCTGTATTTGTCACTTGAGGCCTTCAGATGCAATCACGGTGGTAGAACAGAGTTTTGAGCCGTCATGATGGAGGGGATTAGGAAACTGGCATGAAACCCACAGTTACTGGAGGTCACCTTTAAGTTGTGAGGCTCTTCCAGACAGACAGGCGGCATCAGGCGAGCATCACTCCTGCGCAAAGATCTGGTGTGGCCTGCAGCATGCAAACACCACCCACAGGTGTCTTGAAGTGTGTGGGTCCCTTCACACAGGCCTCACTGCCCCCTATACTCACAGCCTTGAGGGCACCCAGGACTGCGGTGAGGTCACCCCTCCCACCTGCCAGCCCCCTCGCAGACCGTCTCCCAAGCTCGGCCTCACTAGGGTTCCACCAGTGTGAAACACTTGAACATCGCTGAAAAATAAATCGATGCAATTTAGTTTAAATGCCAGTTTCTTCCAGAACCTGCTATCTCTGTTACAAATGAATTGAAGCTCCTTTTTAAAAAGAAAATTCGACTCCCTCATAATCAACTACTTTATGTGAAGAAAAGGCCTTGTTACAATGGCTCAAAATCGTTCTCAAGATATGAGTGATGGATTCAGTCCAGCTTTAACTAGCAAACGTCTTTCCCATATCCTCCTTGCCTTTGTATTTCCTCTTGCCGTGTGTGAATGGGATATACCGGTACTTTATCATGTGCTGGGAAAATAAAACAAACAAACGTGAGACCTTTTGATACACTGCTGAAAGAATCCATTTTCCAAAGCCTAAACTGTCAAAGGGCCCCACCGCAACACTTTTCTCTCTTAACAGGTGAGTGACAGAAGGACTTGCTGCCCCACTCCGAGGTCACCCACACTGGGCAGGCCCATTGTGCATCATTAAAGTCTAGATGTTGTTGTTAAGTGCCATCGAGTCAGCACCGACTCATAGTGACCATATGCACAGCAGAACAAAACAATGGCCGATCCTGGGCCAACTTCACTACTGTTGCCACGCTTGAGCCCATCGATGCTGCCACCTGGCCAATCCATCTCATTGGGGGTCTTCCTCTTTTTCTCCAACTCTCCATCTTACCAAACATGATATCCTTCTCCAGTGACTATTCCCTCCTGACAATATGTCCAAAATATGAGAGACGAAGTTTGGCCATCTTGGCCTCTAGGGAACACTCTGGCTGCACTTCTTCCAAAACGGATCTATTAGTTCTTTTGGCAGCCCATGGAACTTTTAGTATTCTAAATAATTTTTTAGTATTCTAGATAATGGGAGCTATTTAAAGACCCTCCGACGTGGGAAGGACAGACAGTGGGTTGGGAACAGTAGATGTGGGATGGCCTAGAGCACTGGACGAAAGGAGGCAAGGTTGCCCAGCCCCCTGGTGGCCCTGGTCACTGTCCCACAGTACAACTCAGGAGCCACAGAATCTCATAAACTGCTGAGCCAATACCAAGGTCTCAAGGTCTAGAACTGACACATAGTGTGCACACCTGAGCAAGAACTAGGACGTTCATAACCAGCTGTCAGACACTTCAGAGTCCTTCACGTGGACAGTGACACTACCCGAGACTGCTGCTGCTAACGGCCTGACCAGGACACAGTAAGCGGTCCTTCCCACATGCTCTGCGAGCACCAGGTGGGTCCTGAAGTTACTCGCCCTCACCCTAAAGCACCTCACAGCCCCAGCACCGCCGCCTCTGAGCAGTGACCGGACCACTCTTGAGCTAGTAGGAGCACTTGCTGCCGCCCCACTCTGGTGCACCCCAACTTACCTTTATCTGCCTCTTCATTGTGATGCAGAAGAGCATGATGAAGTACATCACCAGGATGGGCCAGAACACTGGCACATTGAATGCATCAAAGAACGTGCAGAACATAGCCACCAGGATGCCTTTGGTGGCTGCGTGCCTGTGACAAGAGGGGCAAGTTAGCACGGTCCACAAGCCTGCCTCGGCTGCAGACCATGACCTGGCTTCCACAGCTGCCCTGCATGGGCCCACAAATACAAACAGCCAGAAAGGAGGCTACACGTTTTCTCCAGGACACACGTGTTCTACACAGGATGAGCTGTCAGGATCCACAGATGGTCATGAAGCGCCCACACAGGAAGCAGCTTAGCACCAGCTCTATTGTGACCCTGACCCCACCACCAGGCTAGTCTGCACTGGACGAAAGGAGGCAAGGTTGCCCAGCCCCCTGGTGGCGCTGGTCAGTGTCCCCACAGTACAACTCAGGAGCCACAAAACCTCATAAACCGCTGATCCAACACCACGTCTCAAGGTCTAGAACTGATGCATAGTGTGCACACCTGAGCAAGAACTAGGACATTCGTGCAGGCTGCTGCCCTCGGAATTCTGAGATCTGCTTACACTGCAGCCACGGGTCACCACCCCACCTCTCCATCCTGCTGCCGACTCTGCCTAAAACACCTCACCACCAACAAAACCCGCCATGGCTCTCCTCTCCTCCCGAACAATCCAGACTCCTCCGCAGGCTAACCCTGGGTGCCTCACGTACCCACTTTCCACTCCCTCTCCTCAAAATCCCACTCCTAACCTCCAGCTCCCACCTCAAATGTGCTCTAGCATGTAATATCCCTTCCTCAAAGACCTCCAAGCACCTTCCTCCAAACACAGTGTAGGAAGTGCCAATGTCAGACAGGCAGCTTCCAAGGGAACTCAAGTGATTCCAGTCTCCTGACTGAGTAACAGTCCAGCTCCCACTGTGCACTGGGGTCTAGGGATGCATAGATAAGACAGGAGTTGTGGAGCCTATGATCTTCTTCCAGTGGGTGGCGGACAAAGGACAGACAGGCAGTCTGTATGCATGTCCTTGGCCTACAGGTTCCACTCAACTTTTTCCACCTGTCAAACTCACCAGCGTTTCAACATCGGTACAAATGCTACCACTGGCTGGCATCTGCAGAATGAAGCTATTTCCAGCCCCTTCTTCCCCAGAGCCAAGCACTTCCAACAAGAGACCCTCTTGCAGTTGTGCTGAGCAGCTGTCTGCAGACATGGGGCTCGCTGGGGGTGACTGCTCACGGATGAGCTATAGCATGGTTGAGCCCAAGGCCCCTTGAGAAAGCTAGGCTGACCCAGCTGGCAACAGCAGTGAGGTGCTATACAAGCAGTGGAGCAAGCAGGCCAGTCTGCAGACAAGAGGAGAGGGGCCCAAGGGGAGGAGGGGGAGTGGCTGAGGCCAGGATTTGTGAGGTACCTGGTGACCCTTGGGAAATAACCACGTGTGCCAGCGTAGTGCTATGAACTTGGAACCAAGTCACCCGTGCATGCCTGGCCTGGCCTAGCATCCTGGACACGTGGGTGTGTTTAAAAAGAGAAAAACACGCAAACTGCCACAGAATTCCCATTCCTTTGAGAAGTCTAAATTGCTGGTAACCAAAATACAAGCCAGTCATTTCAGCTGCACGTGAGTACAAATTCGTTCTCACAGTCTTGTAAGAGTGAACTCACCAAAATTTGAACTCTGGCAGCCTTCGGATGAATGGCCGGAACTCCTCATTCTGCTTGGTGGGCAAGGAAGGACCGTCATCTGAAAGACAGCACAGTGTCTGAGATAGGCCTGCTCTGTCCCTGGCCCTCTGTGACTACTCTCATCACTCTGTCCTAGGACGTTTCAAAAGCAGCCCTAATCTGTGGAAAGGCGGATTTCTGTAGCTTTAGCAAATTACCATCACTAGATGGTTCACTGTTGTAGAGAGTCCCAACAGAACCTCGTTTTCAAAAGAACTCTACATTTTACATAACTGCATAAAAAAGAGAAAGCAACATATGTCAGACATGCATCAAGCGCACTGCATAGAGGTACGGAAAGACAACAGGAACAGACAGTTACAGAAAACACACAGCAAAGGGTACCCACAGGGTTGTGACCAGCAGGTAGTTTGGTCCCTTGGTGCTCCTTTTACCTGGGACAGGTGATCTCTCCCAGGGACTGCTGAGAAAACCACAGCCAACTAAAAGGGTCTCTTAATTATTTTCTAATTTCCCCTACTGGCAATACGCAGTGGAAGAGTTTGGCTAGGTTTCCTTTACTATTTTCATTAAGCATTCTCGAGAAACACCACACAATCTGAAAACAGTCTCAAGAAGACATCCTGTGCAGAGAACTCGTTTTCCTCTGCTGGCACTGTGGGCTAAAGCACTGGACCGCAAGGTCAGTTTCAACCACAAGGTCGGTGGTTCAAACTCACCAGCTGCTCCTCAGAAACCCTATACAGGGTCACTGAGTCAGATCGACTCTAGGACACTTAACAACAAGATACAGTCTTTATAATTCCCACCAAATGACTGGGTGGGAATATGTCAATAAAGTGCTTATGAACCCACCAAGGGGACTGGATCGTTGTTGTTGTCAGGTGCCATCGAGTTGGAACCAACTCATAGCGACCCCATGCACAGCAGAATGAAACAATGTCCAATCCTGGGCCAACCTCACTACCGCTGCCACACTTGAGTCCATCAATGATGCCACCTGGCTGATCCATCTCGCTGGGGGTCTTCCTCTTTATCTCTGACCCTCCATCTTACCCAGCATGACATCCTTCTCCAGTGACTGTTCCCTCCTGACAATATGTCCAAAGTAGGAGAGACGAAGCTTAGCCATCCTGGCCTCCAAGGAGCACTCTGGCTGCACTTCTTCCAAAACAGATCTATTGGTTCTTTTGGCAGCCCATGGCACTTTTAGTATTCTCCTCCAACACCAAATTCAAAGGCATCAATTCTTCTACGATCTTCCTTATTCACTGCCCAGCTTTCGCATCCATATGAAGTTACTGAAAATACCATGGCTTGGGTTAGGTGCACCTTAGTCCTCAAGCTGACATCTTTGCTCTTCAATACTTTCAAAAGTTCCTGTGCAGCAGATTTGCCTAATGCAATACGTCGTCTGATCTCTTGACTGCTGCTTCCACGAGTGTTGACAGTTGATCCAAGAAGAATGAAGTCCTTGACAACTTCAATCTTTTCTCCATTGATAAGAACGTTGTTTATTGGTCCAGTGGTGAGGATTTTTGTTTTCTTGACATTGAGATGCAATCCATACCGAAGGCTGTGCTCTTTGATCTTCATCAGTGAATGCTTCAAGTCCTCTACACTTTCAGCAAGGTTGTATCATCTGCATATAGCAGGTTGTTAAGGGGACTGGATAGTGTGTTGCTGATGTAAATAAGGTACATGGAACTCTGGGGGTAGGGTCATGTAAATAGATATTGTTGTGGTTGTTAAGTATCATCAAGGCAATTCTGCCCCATAGCAACCCTGTATAGGGTTTCCAAGGAGCGGCTGCTGAACTTGAACTGCAAACTTTGCAGTTCAAACTGACTTTGCAATCCAGAGCATTAACCTACAGAGTCACATCAGGGCTCCAAAATATATGGAACCTTAATGAAGGGATTGGCATGGTGCTGTGAGTTAATGCGCTGGACTGCAAAGTCAGTTTGAACCACAAGGACGGCAGTTCAAGCTCACCATCCGCTCCTCAGAAACCCTATGTTGCTGTTATATGCTGTGGAGTCTGTTCCAACTCACAGTGACCCTGTACAGGGTTTCCAAGGCTATAAATCTTTATGGGAGCAGAAAGTCTCATCTTTCTCCCGTGGAACAGCTGGTAGTTTCAAACTGCTGACCTTGTGGTTCGCAGCCCGATTCGTAACCACTACGCTACCAGAGCTCCTTCAGAAATCCTATACAGGGTCGCAATTGACTCTACAGTACTTCACAATGAAGGGATTGGTCAGTTTTGCCAACCCAACAGGCTTTAAAGAGAAAAGCTCACAACCACCAGAAAGCAAGGGAGAATCTTACTACAACTAAGAAAGGAGCTAGGTGTAGGGCATAGCCTCGGGATCCAGGGTCCCTGTGCTGAGCGCCTCCCAGACTCAGGAGGCTGTAATGCAGGAGTAGTAAGCAGCAGCAGCAGAGGGAGAACCAGGAGGCCAGCAGGAGATGGCTCAGTGGGCTCCCTGGCCCACAGACCAAGAAAGCTAAGTGCCTCTGGGCAGGAGGCTTACTGGCAGAGCTAGGCTCACCAACACACACGAGAGCTGAACATCTTCAGGCTGAGGTTGCTGGCAGTTGGAGTTCTCTGGGGACTTACTGGCGGAACTGAAGAGCTTTGTTAACACTTGCTGGAGCAGAGCTAGGAAGTGGCTAGCCTGACTGAAGAACAGCCTCCTGAACTGTAAGCGATTACTTCCCTGATAAACCCTGTAACTGTGGGCTGAGTGTGGCTGCTGCAATGAATTCTTGAAGCCAGCACAGTAGAGAGGGCCTCAGGAGGGACAGCTAGTGTCCAAACTGGTAAAAAGGCTGGAGGGAGGAGATAAGTCTGACCCCCACCTCATAACAGTCACCCTTAGGCTATTGGTATTGATCCCCTCACTCCCAGGGAAGTTAGAGGTCAGAGGTCATCTCCACACCGCTCTCCTGGCAGAGGCCTGGTCAGGCTTCCCAGCAGTGCCCTGAGCCACTGCCCACCCCCACCTCACAGGCAGGAACAGAAATGTGCTGAGAACATGCCAGTTCATCATCCTTGGACACAGAGCCCCTGCCCTCAACCAGAGCCCGGGGGCCAGAGCCAGAGGTACCTGCCTCACAGGTATACAGACAGGTGAGCTACCCAGGAAGGAGAGCGGGGCAAGGGCTCCGGATCCAGACTACTGCTCTGCCAAGTGACCTGGGCAGCTACTAATTGCTATGTGCCTCAGTGTTCTCATCTGCAATGGGGGCAACAGCACATAATGCCCAACTCACAAGGCTGTTAGAAGTCAATATGCACTGCCCTTGGAACAGCCAGGCATCCCCCTTAAAAAAGTAACAGATTAGTCTACAAACACATCTATCCTCATCACCAAACACTGTAAGTACATCTTAAACAGTTTCAAAAGTTTCTATTTCAAAGGCTTCTAGAGAAAACATTTCTGCTGTGTATACAAAAACCCAACCAGCCAGGAACAAACAGAGCAGAGCTGGTCTACCTGAATCTTCCATTAAGGAGGGATCCACTTTTGGAGAAAGAAAAGCTATGAAAAGGTTTAGGTGGTAGATTCCCAAGGCGTAGGTCACGATGTACCAGCCCTGAAAGAGAAGGGAGCACAGGTTAGCAGCCGGCTTTCACCACCCACCCACCAGGTGTTAACACAGTGTGCTAACACACTGCTAACTCTCAGCTCCACTTTGTTGTTAAGTGCCATCTCATAGCAACTCTGAACAGGGTTTCCAAGGAGCAGCTGGAGAGTTTGACCTTTCGACCTTGTGGTTAGTAGTCCAGTGCTTATCCTACAGGGCCACACCAGGACTCCAACTTCATTTTTACTGGACTTAAAGATGAACCCAACACGACGGAGAAGTATGATAGGCTTCCATAACGGCAGTTTCTTTCTGAGGTTCCTGGTCAAGAGCACATAATACCAGAAGCCACCAAGCATGACCAAAGGGGGGCACCTGAAAAGGGGTGGCTTCAAAAGACAGACCCAGGCTCCACCCTGGGGCCCACCTCCACACTGGGCAGTCCAGAGCACCCAAGAGGTTCTGATGTGCACGCAGGTTCAGGACCTGCTTTGGGCAAACATACCCACTTGAAGCAGGACCTGTGCTAAGCATCACTGGTATGAGCAAATTTGTTGCTAAAGCTAATACCCCATAGCGCCACACCAGGTTAGATTATAGCAAAACAACCCTGTGTATACTGCACCCCTGCCCTGACCAAATTAAGGGTTCTAGGTCAATCTTTCTGTTGGAGAATAGACCAAATTCCTATTTAAAAAATAATTTTAATGGCACCTATTCAATATTACTCCTGATGCCCTGTACAGACTGACTCCCATACTAGGAAACTAGAGTGTGCCCCCACCCCTACCCCCTCCAGCCCCCGTCACCCCAAATCACAGGAGATACACTCCCAGGAGTGACTCTGCCACAAGAATTTCCCATAGCACTGGACACACACTAGTGTCAACCGACGGGCTGATGTCTGCCCCAATCCTGGTAAGTATTAGGAAGGTGGGTTGTTGTTAGATGACAGAGCACCCCTGCCAGAGAGGAAAACTCCGGACAAGGCTTTTAATCGTCCTTCCTTTAGACATCATGAAAAATAGGACACAAATGACTCTCAAAGTCTATAAAGGATGTGTCTTAAGGGTGTGCTCTTAGAAACCAGGAGCTCAGGTAAGTATTTCTCAGCCAGGTAATAAACCAACACAACAGGAAAGTCTGAGAAGGGTGCTCACTGGCACAGCTGAGCAAAATCTGTCACTCAGGTGATTCAGTGCCTCATGTGTGCTCTACCTGTGACCTTGAAAAGGCTCCACAATGTCCCAGAAAACCCCCCACTTGGAGACAAGACAGCACAGAGCACCTACCTGTAATAAGTAAACTCTGATCATGTAGACGAAGCTCAGCCCCAGCGTCACAACCCATCGCACTGCTGTGTAAGGGGTAGACTTGTCCAGCCAGGACTGATAGATCTAGAGACACAAGTTCAATCCGTTACACAGACACCGCTCCTCCTTCTGCTCCAACCACACTGTGTGAGGAACCAGTGTCCCTGCTTGCTTTCCATTCTAAAAGGAACTAACCAAACCAGCAAGAGATCACACATGCGCACATACACGGTGTGTGTGTGTATGCTGTGTCTTCGATCCATCCACTGACACAAGGCACTCACTACAACTTTGTAATTACCCAAAATGCATTTGCCGTCATTCCTGAGGAAGGTCCATCTCTTAATCAAAAGCAGATCACGAAGCAGCTAAACACTCCATCGTCAGAGATGGCTCACCATGGGGAAAAGGCAAAGCTTGCTTTATGTGGATGTTCCAAGCTCCCTCTTCCCTAGTCCCTGGGCACTGTCACTACCTCTGCTCACAGCCAGGACCTCGCGGCAGCAAAGCCCCAAGCAGGACAGACACTGACGTGGCAGCCAAGTGTTCCAAGGGAATGACTCCTCAATGTGTGTCTGTCACTTTAATGATGAAAAGTTTCAGACATTCATAAAAGAGATTACATGAACTCACACTCACCCACCACCTAGCTCTGACAGACAGCAATCCTTTTCCAAATTTTAATTAAATATCAGTGTTTTCAGTTTGAGTCCAAACATCAGCACATGACTCCATTGGCTGAATTAAGACTCTCCTTCTGGGACTGAAATGCAGACTAACAGTGGGACCAGGACAGCTCCCACCCCCGAGGAAGATGACGGTCACGTCTCGGTGCCTTCCAGAAATGGGTGGCATTTGTGGGCAGCAGGGAAGAGAGAGCAGTGCAAGGGAGCCACCCTGTCCTGGAGCATTAGCCTCAAGGCCGCCATGGGACACAGCCACCTCACAATGCACAATCGGGCCGGCACACACCCACACTCCTTCACACCCGATGAGCAGTGCAGCTGCCACCCGGGCCCCCACCACCCACGAGCTAGGTGTGGGCTTTCTAGTCTTAAAGACTATAAAGAGCAAATCAATGACCAGGAGGCAAAGACAGAATGTGGCCCTAAATCTGACCACTTTTCTACCTGGTCTTACAGCAAACCCAAGGAAGGAGAGGCCTCTCCTGATGGTCTCTGTGTAAGATTAAGTCTGCTGGGAGCATGGGCACACTGGTATAATTCAGCAAATGTCTCAGCAGTCAACAGTAAAACGTCTCTTTCTAAACAGACATTATTGACACAGGTCACCTATAAACACCCACCTGTCCAAGTCTTGTGAAAAACCTGTACACCACAGACGGCTTCCCATGGACGGAATCGCCAACACTGTCCCCTTCGGACATTCTGTAACTGTGAGGAAAAACAGAGTACTTTTATATTCAAGCAAAGCATCCCAGAATTTGGAAAGCAGACCAACTGTATCAGTACTGCCAAGCTGTTTCTTCAGTTTGTCAGCTGAGGACCAGCGTGTCCACGCCACTTCTCTGCCCTCTGTGTGTGTGTGTGTGTGTGTGTGTGTGCTCGCTATGGCCTGTTCAAGAAGAGCAGAGTGCACACACCATGAGCAGTACTGGGCCATCGTCCCAGCCACCTCAGTGACACATGGGCTCCCACTCTCAGTCCTAGAACTGCTCTAGACAAGCATACAAAGACCACCCCCACCTTCCCTGGCCAGTCCTCACATGCCCCCTGAGGCCTGAGCGGGGCTGCTACCCAGGCTGTAAGCACATCCCACCCAGACCCTCGGGACAAGCAGGTCTCCTCCTCTCAGGAACATTCCCCACCCATAACCCAAGCTAAGAAACTGCCAACAGTCACAGCTGTGTCCTCTACTCATACAACCAGGACAAGGGCAGCTCCCTCATGCCATGGCGCCTCCACACAGGTGCCGTTACTCTGCGCAAAGTCCTTCCACGCCCCACTGCCTTCACAGGTAAGGGCCAAACTCCTACACAGGGCAACTGGGCTTCCCGATCTGAACACTGCCCTTAGCCGCAATGCCCAGCTCTGTCTTATAAGTGCTCTGTGGGCCCGATGCACTGGGCTCCTGGCCTGTTGGGAATGCCTGCCCCACCTCCCACCTGCACCCCTTTCTCCCCAGTCCCTCTATCTTTAGTAGAGTAGGGTGAGCACTCACCCCCTCTGGGCTCTGCCACAGCATGTACTGCATGTCCCTGTTTACATGCTAGCTGTTCTCCTCTGCCATCTGGGAGCCCCTGGAGCTGCTGTTGCTCCGCATCACAGATACTAGTATTTAGAGTGTGTGGGTTAAGAAGAACCATTACCATCCAGCTGACCCTGACTCATGGCCACCCCATGTGTGTCGGAGTAGAACTGTGCTCCACTGGGTCTGCAGTGACCAAGCTTCAATGAGAGATCACCAGGCCTTTCTTCCAAGGGTGGACTCAAACCTCCAATGTTTCGGTTAGCAGCTGAGCACATTAACCGCTTGCTCTACCCACACACTCCAATTAAAAACAGCAATGTTTTAAAATATTTTCCTTCAAGGTTAAGCTATGTGCTCTATACAGGAATTTAACCCTTCACAGTCCACAGGAAAGCAGCACATAGCTCTCGGTAGTCAGTTTATCTGTGTCCCAGCGTCCTGTCTGCAAAACAGAGGTAATCCTAGCTGCTCTAAACATTCCCACTGGCCACTGTGATTCTCTGAGAATTCACCTGTGAGGGCCCAGGTGCAGAACTTCTTACACCTTCTCTCACTTCACGTCCACATAACTGAGAGAGGCAGGCACACCTAGATGGCTTGGGCACCTGCCCAAACTGCTGCCCAGCAGCCCTGCTTCCGAGGGGGCTCCCTCCACTGGGCAGAAGGTGGTCACCGAGTCCTGAGTGGGCTGGATTCACAGGACTCCCCACTCAGGAAAGGCACTGCCTTGGTCTCATCCCTCCTGCTTCACGGTGAGGCACCAGCAGCCCTGAAGCTTGTGAGGATGCTGGGGCAAAGCTTCCATGTCAGCAGGGTCTCCCCCAGAAGAACAGTGCCCCCCCCAGGGCCACCTGCTGGGACTGCAGGCCGGAGATCAGGGACTGACTCCACTGTCATATGGGGTTTTAAGTTGCCTTGTGCTGATACCTGAGAACAATGGCAAACCCTCTGACCATGCCAGCCTCAGTTTCCTCATCTGTAAAGTGGTGCACAGTTAGGCACTGACTGGTCTGATAGTTGCCATAACTGAGACAAACAAGGCTCAAGTGCTGCCTGGCCCATCCACCTGTTGCCAATAGGACTGGAAGTTGAACCTGGGCTGCTTGAGCCCAGCACTTTCCTATTCAAAACCCTCACTAAGAATCGCAGAAACCTTAGAATGAAGTCAGCCAGCTCTCTGACTGGAGCCTGGGTCTCGTGAATGGATTTTCCATGGTGATTTCAATAGAAGACCTTTGGTCAGGCACGTCTACACATCCCGAGTCCCCATTCAAAGTGTCAGTGAGGCCCCACACTCCACTTCCAGGATGCACCAGTGTAGACAGAGCCAAGTGCCAGGTACCACACAGAGGAAACAAAGAATCGCCCTTTGCTCTCTCTCAGGCAGTGCAGACCAAAGACTTCACTACTGTGCCTGGCCTAGCCCAGCCCCTTTGGAAGTGGGCGTGCACTTTTTCATTCAACTGACCTAGAGTGCCACCCCATTCAGGCCAAAGTCAGCCCAACAGAAACACTTCAGTACTAACATTCCTCGAGTAAGCACTGGACTACTAACTATAAGGTCAGCAGTTCAAATCCACCAGCTGCTCCGAGGGAGAACGACGAGGCTTTCCATTCCTGTAAAGATTTAGTCTCAGAAACCCTATACCGGGTCGCTGTGAGTCAGAACTAACTCAATGGCAGTGGACTTGGTTTTGGTTCCTCTTCTGTTTTCTTTTCTACTTAGAAGCTTTCTCGTATTTACTTCCTTCTAAGTGTATATTTTCTGACCAAAATCTTTACCATTAAACACTTTTACTTGAATTGAGGTGTTAAGAACACTGCTGGGACAAAACTACCTGGCTAGCTTGTCAAAGCGTGTCCCCAGAGAGTTGTCTGTGTTTAAATTTGTTCTCACTCTCTCAGTTGTGTTCTCTAGGGATTGTGTGGAGTGCCCACCGGAAATGCATGACCTGACAAACCGAACATGCATGTTAAAATGAGGCCTTCCATTTTGATGAACTCACCTCCTGTGGGGATACAATATTACCCAAGACAGTGCAGCCTGATTCAGACTGTGAGCTTCGGAATCCAACTGCTGCTCGGACAGTCCATCGCTGCCACTTTCTAGTGGTATGACCTGGGCGAGCTACTTAACACCCCCTTGAATTCCAATCTGTAAAATGGGGACACCAAGGCCTTTAGTGTCTTCCTCAAGTGGTTCTTCAGAAGACTGGGCTAACTCAGGCTAAGCAGTCAGCATGAGGCTGGCACTGGTAGCCTGGCACAGTAGGTGTGCCGGCCTCCTGGCTGCTCCTAAACACGTCCAACTTGTTCCAGATCCGGGCTCCGGGCTGGCCCTCACCAGCTGTTCTGGATGCAATCTTCTCCCCAATCTAAAGGTACCTCTCCAGGGAGTCCTCCAGACCCATCACCCAATCCCTGACGTCATATCGCCCTATTTTTATTTAGTGCAACAATGCAGACATTTTTTCTGGTTTATATCTCTACTACTTCCTACTAGAATGCACGCTCCCTAAGATTAGGGAGCTGTTGTTTGACTCACTGCTGGGCCCTACCACTTAGAAGTTCCCATCTGCTGAATTTAACGGCTTTATGCTTAGTCACACAAGAATAAAAGTATAAGCAAGATAAAACCATTCTAAGTAGAAGCTTTTAAAACACACTTGAAGTTCTAGCAAAACTAGAGTCTCCATTGCTTTCATTCCTTTTTCAACCACTTCTAAAACAGTAGGCAGCAACCTACTATGGGTGAAAGCCAAACTCTACTGCTTGGCACGATGTGTCTGCCTTCCTATTTATTTCCCACTACCCTAGCGTAGTGGTTACGAACCGGGCTGCAAACCGCAAGGTCAGCAGTTCGAAACTAGCAGCTGTTCCGTGGAAGACAGATGAGGCTTTCTGCTACCGTAAAGCCTCGGAAACCCTGTACAGGGTCGCTATGAGTCGGTACCGACTCCACTGCACATAACAACAACAAACCCTAACCACCACCACCACCCTAACTGCCTGCCAAGGATACCTGTTCCGAGGCATCCACCTTCATACCTCGGGTGCTGTCTCCTGGCCTGGAACACCCTTCAGATCTTATCTACTCCTTTCTCACGCCACATTCCAGCCTCAGCCCCTCCCCTCCTGGGGGTGACCTGAACTGAAGCGCTCCCTCCAAGGAATGGGCGACTCAGGCAGGACCGTCCTAAAGGATTATCTGTTATTCATTTTTGTGGAGTACTCCATTTTACACATCATTATGAACTGCAAACTCAATCCAACTGAGAATATATCACTTCGGGAAAACTTTGATCCCTATCTTGCAGTTAAAAAGCAAAGTGCTCACGGAGGATTGCTCAAAGTGAAGGCAACCCCCCAGCCGACCCCACCTTTCCACCCCACTCCCGAGCAAACGTTTACTATGCCAGCTTGGCCATAAACAGATAAAACCAATGAAGGATTTATTGTTTTATTACCTTAATTTGAAAAACTATCAATATGTAGTATGGAACCATTTAACTAACTCCGCGTTGGCCCGTTCAGTCATTTCATCATGACGTTTTAATACTGAAATTCGACAGCTAATCCCTGATCATTAACAAGGTTACAGGGGCAGGGAGAAGAAATCTCCACGGCTATCCGATTCTCCCAGAATTCGGTGGTGAGCAACTGACAGCTTTCCTGAGATGCACCTGCCAACGCGTAGGACGGAAAAAGTTGCCAGCACGGGCGGGCCACGCCGCCCTCCCCACCCTGGGACTTGACCGTCCCCTCCCCGAACCGGCGCGGACAGGCAACGGCGCGGACAGGGCGGAGGCGTGGTCACCGCGGCGCCCCCCGGTCTCTAACGGCGCGGGGTGAAGGTGCTCTCAACCCTCCCGGGCCCTCTGCCTTCCCGCCGGCAGTCGGTCGCGGCCTTGACAGCCCGGAAGGAGGCGGCGCCGGCCCGGCCGGTCACCCACCGCCACGCAGCCCACCGAGCCAAGCCGGCCCGCCCCGCCCCGGCCCCGCCTGGCACCTCGCAGCGCCGCCGCGGCCGAGCCACGGTTTCCGTCAGGGCCACGGGATAGAGAACGGGGCAGGCGGCACGCCGCGCTTCGCTCGGCTTGGGACGCTGCTACCAGCACTTCCGCTCCGTCCGCCGCGGCGCCGCCTCCGGGCCTCCAAGATGGCCGCGGGGCGGAGCCTAGAGTTCCAACCATTTCCGTTTCCGATACGGACTAAGAGGCCGTTGGAGGGCGGCCGCTGGGCGGAAGGGACGGCAACCGGAAACGCTCCGCGCCGCACAGGCGCAGTTGCTTCCGCCTGCTCCGGGCCGTTTATAATCCATTCCAGAGATTACTATTCGCCCAAAGTCAGGCCCCACCCCACCCCACCCCGCCTCCCCGCTTGCGGCCACACCTCATCGCGACCAGAGAGCCAATGGGATAGAGCTTTGCTGGTTGCCAAGGTAAACCTCTAATGGCAAGATGGCGGCAGCGGGTCCAGGGAGCCCAACCTCCGCCTTACGGCTTCAGAAAGCGCTGGAGCGACCACCGCGGGATGGTAACGCAGGACCCGGCTGATCCAAGGGCGACGGGAGGCCGGATTATCCTAAGCCCCTAACGGGCATGCACTGGAAATTCGAGAGGAGAGGAGGGTCTCGGGCGATAGCTGTCCCTCCCCCCCCCGCCCCCCACCAAATGACGGCGCCAGTACAGGAACTCGCCCTTTCAACTCAACATCTCGAACCCTTCTGCCTGCATCAGGCCTCGGCCTGAAAGGAATTCCTTGCGCGGCCTCAGGGACCGCTTCTGTGTATCCTTAACTCCCAAGCAGTAATGGGCGAGCACTCCCGGGCACTCAGTATCAAAACCAGCGGGACCTTGGAGAGTTAGGTGTCCCAAGTGCCCAGGTGTTGCAATGATGAACCGAAGTCAGGTACCAACCTGACGCTGTCTAGTAATGCACTTTTCAAAAGCTATTGACAGGAATTGTTCATAAAGTCAAAGAAGTAGCAACGGAAAGAGTTCATGTCAGTATCTTCAGGTAGAACCTGACCTTAATTTATGATGGAGTAGCCTAAAGTGATGCAGGCCCTCCTCTCCTCCAGACTTCTTTATATTCCACACCCCAAGTTGTGCAATGAAACAGGAGCGCAGGCAGAGTAGAACCGACAGTGCTATGGATGGAATTGTAAGATGCAGCAGGTGGTTCAAAAGGAAGAGAGGGCTGGGGTGAGTCAAGGGATCACAGCTTTGAGGTGGGTAGCTGGACCCTGAAAGATGGTCCTTCCAGTTTGTTACCAGCTACTCTCTGTGGGTACATCCTGCAGAGAAGAAGAACTAGGCGTCCAAGGAGCAAGACCAGGAAAGCAAGGCACCTTGTTTGATAGACCTTAATTTGTTGTTTGTGACCTGGTTTATATGCAAAGACTCACAAGTTTAGACAACTAAGTACACTCAGTTACACATTTAACAAATCACCTGTATTGAAAGTAGAATAAACTTCCATGAAATCTAGATGGTCAGGGAAAATCCTCAGTCTACTCACTCAGCAGATTTTCTCAGCACCTACTGCATTCCAGCCCCTGAGGGAGGCCATGGAAAACTATACCCTGCCTTCAAGATATTCATAGGTCTAGGAGTTAGATGAGGGGAGCAGGAAAGCAGTTCCCCAGAAGCCCACACACATACACACACACACACACACACACACACACACGTGTTGTCTAAAACCCAAACCTTGGAAGAAAGGCCTGGTAATCTATTTCCAAAGAATCACAGCTATTGAAAACCCTCTGGAGTGCCGTTCTCCTCTGGCACATGGGTTTGCCTTTAGTAAGGATTTGATAGCAACTAGTTTGCTAGTATGATAAATGTCACTGTAAGTGTTCTTGGGTTTTTTGTGTGTACATGTGTATAATTTTCTCTGGGGGGGGTGTATACATCTAGAAATGAAATCCTTGGTTCACTTTACTCATTTTTATAATTAATAGCATCATAGTATTTACATATTTGAGATGTGCTAAAGCATTTAGCTTTCCATTCTTTACTGTATTATAAAATGCTACTTTGTGAATAATCCTGTACACAATTTGTAACAGACCAGAATATCATCTATGGGATAAAATTCTAGAAGTGAAAAATTAACATCAAAGAACATGTGCACTTTTAATTTTGACAAAAATTAGCAAATTGCTCTCCATCAGGGATGTATTCATTGATTGTGCAATGGAGGATTTGCCTTTGCCCAAAGAGCAGTCCAGCCTTTGCCCTCAGCTGCTAAGAGGCAATCGCTGAGTCCTTAAAATACCCTACTTGATAAAAGTGTCATTTACCTGGGGTCTTTTAGTAACACGGGGTGATCTAAGAATGTGGTTTAATGTTGGGTCTGTCGTTCTTGCAGTATCTGCTCGATGTGTAGAGAACTGAGGCGAGCCACGTGAGCAGCAGCCAGCTTGGCATGAATGAACCCCAGTAAAAAGTCTGAAATATTAAGGCTCTGGTGAGCATCCCTGGTTTGCAGTACTCCATGCATCTTGTCACACGTTGTTTCTAGGAAAGTTAGAGCTATCTGTGGCAACACTGGTTGAGGATAGCTAGAAATTTTGTATATAAAAGCGTCTCAGACTCTGTCCCACATGTCTCTTCCCTTGGTTAGTATTACTCTATATTTACTGTAAAAGAAAAGCTGCAAGTGACCATAACAGTTTTCAATAAATTTTATGAGTCCTTCTGGTGAATTTTGAAACTTACAGTCTTCTTGGACACCCATGAGCTTCCAGGTGGTGTCAGAATTAAGGGTGGTCTTAAGGACCCCTGGACTCTTCAGTTGGTGTCAAAAGTGAAATCGATCTTGGGATGTTCCCTAATTTCACATTTATACTCCATCACAGGGATATATGAGTTCATGCTCTATTTAATTTGTTGTTGTTGTTGTTGTTCTTAGGTGTCGTTGACTCAGTTCTGACCCATTGTGACCCAGTGCACAACAGAACAAAACACCGCCAGTCCTGTGCCATTCTCACAATTGCTGTTACACTTGAGCCCATTGCTGCTGCCACAGTGCCAGTCCATCTTGTTGGGGGGTCTCCCTCTTCTTCACTGTCCTTCCACCTTACCAAGCATGATGTCCTTCTCCAGGGACTGGTTCCTCCTGATACTATGTTCAGAATATGAGAGATGAAGTCTGGCCATCTTGGCCTCTAAGGAACATTCTAGTTGTACTTCTTCCAACATAGATTTTTCTTCTTCTTCTGGCAACTCCATGGTATGGTACTTTCAATATTCTTCTCCAACACCATATCTCAAATGCATCAGCTTGTCTATAGTCCTTCTTATTCATTGTCCAACTTTCACATGCATATGAAGCTATAAAAGTACCATGGCTTGGGTCAGGCGTGTGTTAATCCTCAAATGACATCTTTGCCTTTCACTTTAAAGAGGTCTGGTACAGCAGATTTGCCTAATGCAGTACATCATTTGATTTCCTGACTGATGTTTCTATGAGTGTTGATGGTGGGTCCAAGCACAATGAAGTTTTTGACAGCTTCACTTTTTTCTCCATTGATCATGATGTTATTTAGTGGTCCAGTGGTGAAGATTTTTATTTTCTTTACATTGAGGTGCAATCTATATCAAAGACTGGTCTTAGATCTTCATCAGTATTTTTAGTCTTCTATGCTCTGGTAGCGTAGTGGTTACGAATCGGTCTGCGAACCTTAAGGTCAGCGGTTCGAAATTACCAGCCGCTCCGTGGGAGAAAGATGAGGCTTTCTACTCCCGTAAAGATTTACACCCTCGGAAACCCTGTACAGGGTCGCTATGGGTCGGACCCGACTCGATGGCACTTAACAACAACAACAATGCTTTCAGCAAGCAAGATTGTATCATCTGCATATCTCAAGTTGTTAAGGAGACTTCCTCAAAACCTGATGCCACGTTTTTCTTCATATAATCCAGCTTCTCAGATTATTTGCTCAGCATACAAAATGAATACATATAATGAAAGAATATAACCCTGATGCACACCTTTCCTGATTTTAAACCATTCAGTGTACCCTTGTTCCTCTTGGTTCCTCGTGAGCACAATCGAATTTTCCGCAATACCTATTCTCCTCAGAGTTGTCCAAAGCTTGTCATGATTTGGCTAGTCAATAAAGCATATCTAAGCATCTTCCTGGTAGTCTCTGCTTTTATTGTTGTTGTTGTTAAGTGCCATCAAGTCAATTCCGACCCATAGCAACCCTTTATAGGAGCAGCTGTTGAGCTTGAACCACTGACCTTTCAGTTCAAACGGCTTTACAGTCTGTCACATTAACCCACAGTGCCACACCACGACTCCCCTGCTTTCATTAATGTACCATTAATTAAGAAGCAAGGTGGTACAAGCCTACCAGCTACTCCACAAGAAAAAAAGGTTTTCTGCTCCAGCAATGATTTACAGGCTTAGAAAACTATGTTGTTGTTAGTGCCATCAAGTCGGTTCTGACCCATAGTGACCCTGTATAGGGTTTCCAAGGAGCGGCTGGTGAGCTTGAACCAACTTTGCAATCCAGAGCATTAACTCACAGTGCCACACCAGGACTACTGGAAACCCTGTACTGGGTCCCTATGAGTCGGAACTAACTTGATAACACTTAACAACAGTAACAGCCTTTAAATAAACCCAAACCTTGCCCCTCAGTGGCTTCTTGTCGCTGTGAAAATCTATACTTGCACTCAACAAGTCCCCGCCCACTTTCTTATCACTGGCACCAGCTGCACCCCCAGCCTCACCCCCTTTGTTGGGGGTTTCCCTCACCTGTGCTGCTTCTCCCAGGGCTCTCCCTCCTCCACCTTCACTTGGCTCCACCTACCCTTCCTTCCTGGCTCGCTCAGATGGCTCCTTTCTAGGAAGATTCCCCAATGACCTTCCCATCAGCTCCTCCCCTTCCCATCCCCACCTCCATGACTTTCACTCTCAGAGGACCCCAAACTTGTACCCACCTGGCTTCAGCTCACTGGGCCTGTGCTTTGCATCCCTGGGGCCTGGTGGTAAACAATCAACCGCTAAAACGGAGATGCCACAAGTGAGTGGCTTTAACAAATAGAAACATTCTTTCTCACAGATAGTTATTTTGTTGTGTGCCATTGAGTCAGTTCTGACCCATAGCAACCCGGTATAGGGTTTCTGAGGAGTGGCTGGTGAGTTTGAACAGCCTACCTTGCAGTTCAAACGACTTTACAATCCAATGCATTAACCCTCAGCACGGCAGGAGGCTTAAAGTCCAAATTCATAGCTCAGGCTTTGTTGTTGTTTCGTGTTCTCAAGTTGGTTCCAACTTATAATGACCCTGTGTTGTTGTTGCTGTTGTTAGGTACCATCGAGTCAGTACAGAACCATAGCAACCTTATGCACAGCAGAACAAAACACTGCCCAATCCTGGGCCAGCCTCACTACTGTTGACACGCTTGAGTCCATTGATGCTGCCACTCGGCCAATCCATCTCATTGGGGTCTTCCTCTTTTTCTCTGACCCTCCACTTTACCAAACTTGATATCCTTCTCCAGCGACTGGTCCCT